CTTACAGCTTACAGTAGTCCCTATATTACCCCAGTATAGTAGCTTCCATTTTCTTATCCATTCCTTCATTCTCACCCTACTAAACCCTAAACCCTAAACCCTAAATTGTAGTTTCCATTTTCTGTTCCATTATCCCAATATATCCCCTATATAACCCCTATATAACCCCAATATAACCCCCAAACCCTAAACCCTGAACCAAACAGGTTCGTACACATCCACAGCCTCCTCCAGCGGCATCTTAAAACCTGCGCGACAACAGGGGGGGGCCTTCCTAAAATTTGGGGCGGTTTAGGGTTTAGGGTTTAGGGGCCTTTTCAACGGGTATAATGGATATAGGGTTTCGGGTTTAAGGCTTCCCGAAAAATAGGTGTAGCTTTTTGGCAGTCCTCATGATAAGGGCCATAATATATTAGGGTCTATAATCAGGTCCCCTTACTTTGGGAAACTACCATATGTATGACTTTACTAAACTACCAAGGGACCCTTATATCCACCCTCAATGGTCTTTCATGTTGGGAAACTTCCATAAGAACATGTGGGCCATGCGTGGTGCCCTGAGCAGCGGACGGCTGCGACTTTAGATGATAAACCGCTGGCAACACGTGTGCTAAAACCCCCAAACACTAAATCCTAAACCCAAACCCTGAATCCTAAATCCTAAACCATAAATCCTAAACCCTAAACCCTGAATCCTAAATCTTAAAGATTAAACCCTGAACCCTTAATCCTAAATCCTAAATCCTTAACCCTAAACCCTAAACTACCAAGTTGACACAACATTGAAGGCTTCTCTTCACACACAACATTCCCAAATTCAAAGCCCAATACTGTCCATGGGGTGGACAGCCATAGCCATAACTTCATTCTCAATTCCCAAGGTTTCAAGGTAGTGTTTAGGGCCAGTTTAGGGTTACTCATTGTTTTCAGCAACCCCGCATGCCAAATGACAAAAGAACAGCTTCATTGTTGACGTTTCCTACAAGAGCTTCTTAAAACATACTAAGTGTTGGTGAGGAATAGAGTAGGCAACAAGAACTTAGGAATATGAGGCTTTGAGGAGAATTTGGGGTGCCTCTGCGAAGAATATCTGGGCAAAGCTTCCCAATCAACTTTACTTCAACACAGAACCCTGAATTTGAATCCCAAACTCTGAAAAGCAAACTAACTACTCGAATTCAAGCGGCCTTTGCAGAATGGCAGCGCACGTTGTGGTCAACAAGCTGTAATTCTAGAAAACCTTAAGTGAAGTGCTTAAGCTCCCACCGCAATGGTGTTGATCATGCTCCTTGTCTGACCATGTTGACCTTCATGGGTTGGAAACTTCTGAAATTGGGCTGCATGATACCAATATGCTGACACATGCTTATCATTGTCATAGTCGATTGCTCATACGAAAGAAGCTGCTCATATCGAGTCAGCACGGCAGGCGCAATGGCTTTGACGCATTCAAGCTAGAAGATGTTTACGAGAAAGTTGCCTGCTCGTGTGGACACACATCGCAATCAATTTCAAGATTCGCATGCCTGTGGGACCGTTCTTGCATAAAATAAGCCCAAGGGGTAATTGGATAAGCAACGCACTACTGTACAGAATGGTTCAAAGCTGCGCTGCTGGCTGCACACAAAACAAAATCCACAAAAAAAAACACCAATGTAATGTTGAAAGCCTTTTGTTTGTTTAAGTGCACACTGAAAGGAACTAGAATTGTCTGAACGGTGGTGCGACCGAGACGCCTAGGCGGCAACCTAGTTACCAGAATTTGAAGGTAGAATATTGGAGCTGATCAGCTTGAAGCTGCGGACGGTGTGGGTTATTAGTGTTCCGTGCCGTCCCTGCAACAGGCCTTGTTCCACCTGATGTTTGCCCTTTGTTGTTCCGGCTCCCTTTACCGGACGCTTCTACGGGCTGCTCCGTATGCTTCTCAGCTGACTGTGCCTTCTACTGCTGTGCTTCCAAAGTGCTTTTGAGCTGGTAGGTTCACCAAGATGTTGAACGTCCGGTCGCAGGAGTTGCAAGCATTTGCAAACCCAGAATCCGCAAAATTTATGCATCCTCGCCCGAGACGGCCCACCTGACGCTGCGTATGCCTTTGCATTTTGCAACATGTTTTTTTTTCTGGAACACCCTTTCAAAAAGTCTACCCAAGTCGGCTTTGGCGGAAACACAACCCTGCTTGCTCTAGACTCCTGGTCAAGGGTTTTTTTGACCCTCTTATCCAAAGAATGCGAAGAATAGAAGCACTGAAGCCCATCATGCCAGCTTGCGAGCCAGCCGACCAAGACTTTGGAGTCAGTATGGGCATTAAGAAGACCCCTTTTATGAAAAGTCTCTGTTTACAGTAGACCTCCGCTGCCAATTCTAAGTTTCAAGGTTCTTAAGACAAGCACTTGACCAATTGTCCTTGTCATAATCCACCGCAAATCCTAATTACGTGTACCCAAGACGCGAAAACATCATTGTATATATCATAGCATACATTAGGGTCTGTAGATGTTACCACATGCATTTAGTGGGTTTTACAGGCGTTGAGTGCCTCCAGGAGCTTCCAGGGGCCTCCAGGAGCCTCCAGGGGCCTCTAGGGGGCGCCATCAGAGTTCCACTGATAGGATTTTCGCACGTCTATAAATTCTGCACGGCTCTTTCAAGATGTTGGCTGGCCGACGTGCTCGCGTAGCATCTGACGCATGACGCAGAATCAGGACCAGGAAAGCACCACAGCAGACGGGTTGAGGCACCTGCTGCAGTCAGAGGCTGGATACCTTCACAGGCTGCTCAACTTTGACGTCCGCCACTCAGTCGAGCCTTACCGACTCGGACACAGATCATGGCCCGCTTATCACTGTTTCTCTAACACGGTCTTCTGAAGAGAACTTTGGACGCCTTGTAGGCACGCCTGGACAGACGCCAGCAGCGTCGCCAGCCTACGACCGTACCGCGCAAGCGGCAACAATAATGCCGGAAGAGCACTTCTCGAGAGAGTTGGGTCTGGTAGTTGCCGACACCTGTAACTCCGTTATGGCTGACCATAGAAGAATGCAAGGTCTGGAAATTTAGGAGCTTAAAAAAGGCGCGATTTGATGAAAATCATTGCATGCCACCTGATATGGTTGACATTCTTTTAATTCTACCAGCAGTGCGTGGATGCCAGCTTGGGAAGTGCTGCAGCGGAACGGACAGGAATGACAGCCAGTCAGCTGAGAAGGTGGAAGCGCGCGGTAAAGGGAGCCGGGACAACAAGAGCAAACATCAGGTGGAAACTTGGTGGCAAAGGAAAGCCTGTGAAAGACAAGACCTGTTGCAGGTAGGGCACGGAACTCAACACTTCGGAGCACACCTCTTGTGGAAAGTGCGATTCACTTTAAAGGTGAATTCAGCTTGGACAATTTCGTTTATTCTGCCCTCATCAACCTTCTTTTGATCCGTGCTTTGCCCAGCGTTCTAGTTGGGAAGTGGTCTTTGCTGCGTACGTTCAGATTCCTTTACAAAACCTCTCTACTCCCATGCAGACACGCCTCAGCCTGGCCGACTCCCCCTCACCTCCGCCATGGTAGGTGTCCAGTCCAGTCTGACTATCCCGCGTGAAATTTCAGCTCGCCCAAGTTCAGGCTGTGACGGTTCGCGGCCGGGCGCATTTTCATTCAAAACGATGTTTGATATGGGTTTCTGGCCCCAGAGGGCCCGGAGGCTCCTAGGCGGAGCTGACGGTGCGTTCAACTTGTGTTGTGCTGGAGATTCGGTGTTACAAAAGATTTCGACCTTTGGGCCATGAAGAAGGCGCAGCCGTGCAATTACAGACTGCTCCAACTGAAACCTCGGAACGTCGGAATTCCGAAACGGACACTAGAAGGTTTTCAGGCTCCGATGCCACAGCCAAGTGTTGATTAGCAGCTTCTTCGATAAAAAACCGAATTTGTACCCAGCGTAATCGCCCA